CATATGGTAAGAGTATGTTTAGTTTTGTAAGAAACTGCAAAACTGTCTTCCAAAGTGCCTATACATACCAGTTTTCATTTCCACCAGCAATGTATGAGAGTTCCTGTTGCTCCATACCCTCACCAGCATTTTTTGTGTTCAGTGTCCCAGATTTTGGCCATTCTAATAGGTGTGTAGTGGTATCTCATTTTAATTTGCATTTCCCTGATAACATATGATGTGGAACATCTTTTCATATGCTTATTTCCTATCTGTATATCTTTTTCGGTGAGGTGTCTGTTAAGGTCTTTGACCTGTTTTCTAATTGGGTTGCTTATTTGGTTGTTTTCTTATTGTTGAGTTTTAAGAGTTCTTTGTATATTGTGGATAACAGCCCTTTATCAGATGTGTTTTTTACAAATATTTTCTCCCAGTCTGTGGCTTGTCTTTTAATTCTCTTGATACTGTCTTTCACAGATAAGTTTTTAATCTTAATGAAGTCCAGCTTATTGCTGTTTTCCAGCTTATCAGCTATTTTCCTCATGGGTCATATCTTTGGTGTTATATCTACAAAAGCATCACCTACACCCAAGGTCATCTAGGTATTCTCCTATGTTATTTTCTAGGAGTTTTATAGTTTCGTATTTTCTATTTAAGCCATGATCCATTTTGAATTAATTTTCATGAAAGGTGTAAGGTCAGTACCATTTCTTGAAAAGAGTATCTTCACTCCATTGTATTGCCTTTGTTCCTTTGTCAAAGAACAGTTGACTATATAGGGTCTATTTCTAGGCTTTCTGTTCCTTCTATTGATTTGTTTGTCTGTTCTTTCACCAGTACAACACTGTCTTCATTATGTTGGCTTTAAGAGTCCATTAAGTCTTGAGGTCAGGTAGCATCAGTCCCCCAACTTTATTCTTCTTCAGTATTGTATTGGCTGTTCTGGGTCTTTTGTCTGTCCATATAGACTAGAATAAGTGTGTTGATATCCATAAAATAACCTGCCAGGATTTAGATTGGGACTGAATCTGTAGATCAAGTTGTTAAGAACTGATAACTTGATAATATTGAGTATTCCTATCCATAAACATGGACTGTCTCTCCATTTATTTAGTTCTCTGATTACATTCATCAGAGTTTTGTGGTTTTCCTCATATATATCTTATACACATTTTCTTCAATTTATACCTAAGTTTTTCATTTTTGGTGTGCTAATGTAAAAGGTATTATATGACTTAATTTTTCTAAACATTTTTAAAACCTCTTAAAAGTTACTAACATCTAGTTTATCCAGCAGTCATGTAATTTAGAAAGTGATTTGAGAGTAATTTTAGTACAAATCCTTCAAGTGCTTTTAGATGAAATCATGAAAAATAATTAGAAAAGTTTCTAACAACTTCTGCCTTCCCTACCCCAGTGTACACGCGCGCACACACACACACACCCTACTACTCTACATGTCATTAATTCTTAAGAGAAAACTAGATTTCATTTGCCTAACATCATATGAAATAATATGGGCTATAAATATTTTTTTAAATAAGTGCTTTCAAATTTTAAATTCTTAAATACTTAAAACAATGACTGGGAGAGGGTGGTTAAAGATAAACTTATTTAATATACTGTAGACTTTATAGAGTAAAGTCTTCAGATTCAGAGAGAGTCAAATAGCTAATTAATAGCAAACCAGAAAGCAGAGGGTCTAGAAACTAGAGGACTTATCTTCTACAGGACTATACTTTTAGTTAGATTATACTAACTTTTATTCAGAAGTCTTCCATGTAATTTGAAATTTCAAATAGGAAGGGATCAAGAGGTGGTAGTAAGACATACGCTTTTAAATAGTTTTCAGAGTATTATTTCTTGATATGTTGTTCTGAAACAGGATATAGCCATGACTGTTAAAGTGCATCTTTTCCTATGGTGACAGGGATGTTCAGCCTTGGGTATATTAAACTATTTACAGGACACCTTTAGTCTTTTCATTTTAACATACTCATAAGTAAACTGGAATCAAGTGTAAACAAACAAAAAAATCCCAGGAAAACATTTTTATTTCCTTCTTCTCCTGGCTAACCAGTTTCTACTCTTTAGGGAAGAACTTTAAAAATAGAACAGTGCCTATCTTTCCTGCTCCTGGCCACAGTCACTTTCTAAGAATAGAAGTTGGGTGTGTGACTCCCAGTTGCCTAACTGGAAAGGAATCTTTAGCCTGCTTCTCTGTCCTTCCTTGTGAGTAGGCTGACTTCTGACCACCTGCCCTCTTATTATTCTTTCTTTTATATTGCTGGGGTCCTTTTTTTTGCTTCTAAAATTTGATTTTCAGTGTTACTTGAAGAACAGGATTTTTTCCAGCTTACAAGGTCTGTGTTATCTGTTTCATCTTGGTCTCAGCTTACTCTTTGTCTCCCCTCTCTGATGACAAAACCTGATCCACAGTCCAGTTCTGCTCTGTATCAAGCAGGTGAAGCAAACTACTAATCCATTTCTCTCACCATTAATGATCATAGTAATATTATAATCATAGCTGTTTATATTTTCTGAGTGCTTCATTTATTCCAGCAATCTTATGGGGTAGATAATATTATGCCCAAGCCATTCAGCTAGTAAATAATGAAGCCAGAGTCAAACCCAGGCAGCCTGACTCACAGCCTCTGCTGTTAAACATTACTTACTGTAAATGGGTATAGTATGAAAAATAACCTATGCAGTAAGAGTGGCTGCAGACCTTGCTATAGACTTCCTACAACTGAATAACTTGACGGCTGTATTAGCAGTTAACTACCTGGGAAATGTGCTGGTATAGCGAAATCAGTGCTGTGTTTTTTTTTAAAGGACCCTCTGAAAAGAAAATGTAAGTTTCATTAAGCTTTCCCTTTGGTCTTCTCAATGAAGACCATCTGTGAATGATTCATTAAATACTGGTATGTATCAGACATTTCACACCTAGGTGTTTTCACTTACCTCAGTTATTTTTATGTGTAAGAAAACTGTGGATAAAAGATAAAAGCCACACAGCTAGTAACAAAATGAAGTTGGGATTTATACTAGTCAGTTTGCAAGTGGTAACATCCTATGTCTAACTAGTTTAGGGAAAAGGCAGTATTTATTGAATGGATACTAGGGTGTGACATGAGCCCAAAAATGTAGTCCTCAAAGATAACTGCTACTAGGGACACTGAAATTGCTGGGGGTTTTCAAAAGCTTCTCTGTTCAGCCAGTTGGCTTCAGTCTTCCCTGTTACAGACCAGAAGGAATGCCAACAGTCCCCCCAGCTTCATAGTTGAGAGTTGAGAACGTTCCAGGGATTCTTACTGACTTAATTGGGGTCAGTTTCCCACCCCTGAATTAATATTTTAAGGAGAGTGAGGAGGATCACATAGGAGACATGGCTGCTGAGGTTCCAACTCTGTATTACGCCTATTCTTAGAAAACGGTGGTTCACTGTGAGCTGGGTAGTGCCATGCCAGTTGGTATGTAATGCCCTATTGAGGTGCAGGTCTCTCTTATTCCCAATCTGCTGTTCTTGCCACTACCTCCATATACAATGTGTCATTGGGAAGATTTACAACATATTAATAGGTGGGGTAACAGGACTTATAAAACAAAGAAGTATATGAAAGGCATGGAATTAATAAGAGAGATTAGATCTGTTCTAAAGTAGTTATCACTTTAGTTTGGGGCATTTGTAAAGGTTTTAATGAAGAAGAGGCACTTAATGTGGACTTTGAAAGATAAGCTCATATTAGATATAGAGATATATTTTCCAAGTAGAACAATCAAGAAAACAAAAAGTGAGAATAAATGAAGCACATTAACTGATACTGAGGAAACCAACCTGGAAGAATGCCCAGGATTCAGCCCATGTTTCTGTTGCTTTTAACACTGTAAGTCCTATTGAGTAAGTACTAAATCAAGGAAATCTGGGAGGCTGGAAACAGTTCAGTTTAGCAACCCCTGTAGAAATACATATGAAAAATTAAAAGGCCTAAGGTGGCAGCATTGAGAAAGTATGATATAACTGCGGACAAGAATACAAAGAATGTAAAACAAACAGGTTAGAACCAACCAGGTTAGAGGAATGTTTAGTGTCAGTGACTATGACTAGGAAAAATAATCAATTTTGCAAGGAATTAGATTTGATCTGAGTGGGTTAAAGTGATAGAAACCAATCTAAATTGAAATATCCAGGTATGGAAACTGGGGAAGAAGTCAGAGCTAGAGATTTGGGAGCATGATGTGAAACCTGGTGAGCTTTCTAAAGGAGTATGTGTGCAAAAAAAAAAAGTGAGTGGTACACTGAAACATGTACACCCACACAGCTAGTGTGAAATGGAATTTCGCTTTTACTTCCTATGTTGCTTGCCATCATTTTTTGTTTTGTGTTTTCTGTATTGTCTCTCTAACTAGACAGTGTGCACCTTCATGATGGTAGTCAAGCTGTCCTAAGATTTAATAGCTGTATGCTCTGGGCTCAAAGTACACACTCAGTAAATCACTTTTTAAAAACATTTTTTCATCAATTATTTTAATACTTTTTAGATTATGATGGATTATGTAACTTTTGTGACACTTTTCAAGGAATTCTACTTCGCTAAAATGTGATATCCAGATAGAACATTTATATCTTAGGATTTCCTTTGCCTCAAAACCCACTGCTCCTACCTTATTCATCTGGTAACCCTGGCCATATTTTAGAAGAGAATCTACCTGTGAAATATTTTAAATGGTCCATAGCTTATCCTTTTAAAGGTATTACATCTTAATGGAAGAGCAGATGATCTAAATGTAAAATTTCAGAATCAGTACTATATTATACTTACACTTTTAATCTGTAGTACTTTTGGTATCTTAATGGATTGAAAATGAAAAATATAAACCATTTCTTTGCTGAAAGTCTGCAATGTTGATTTCTAAATTTGTGAGTGGGTATTAATTAAAGGCCACAGTTACTTTTTAAAAATAATATCATAAATATTAGTACCCGGGGATTAGAATTTGTTTTGATCAAGTACTAAAGATGCCTTAGGTCACTGCAAAATTGCAACTTCTGATCTCTCCTTTCCCCCCAGTTTCTGTTAGTCCCAAATTGGGAGCAAAAGTATAGCTTGGGGTTTAACTTAATATCCATTTACACCCACTTTGTAAACATCCCAGCCCAGGGTACTATAGAATCTGGGAAAGATAGCTAATGTCTGTATTTGAGTAAACTGTATTTTTGATATTTCTCTTTTTTTTCTCATTT